ATACTAACAATAAAATTTAATAATATTTATTAGGGGTAAAGATAAAAACTTGTTAAATTTTAAGATAAATTTAATGAGTCTTAATTTTTTTTAATTTTAATAAAACATATTGAAAGTGATGTATATATAGAATGAGAAGGAATAGTCTTCAAGCGTGAAGCTAGAGATAAATAAATTTAGGTATTTTAGATAGTGCCTTTTTAGCCGCATAAACTTTTATCTAATGAGAGATTTTCACAAGTTTAATTTAAAAACATTAGAAAAATGGAATTGAAAACTTTTAATTAATTTTTATTACTCTTTTAATTACATATTTTTTTATTAAAAATTTTGTAACCTAATTTACCCATTTCTTTTAAACTGAACACGTTAAAATCTTTCTTTCCCTCCATTCTCCTCCAGCCAAATAAAAGTTAATAAATACATGATAGAGTTTGATCATAAAATATTGTCAATATAATCTAATGATTAATACATTAGCGAACCTTTATATAAGCCACTTTACATAAAAATGGATAATTAATCATTTTCTTATAATTTTATATTTCATAATTTTCTATTATTAAAGTAAAATGTTACATATAATAGATAAATTGTTTTTAAAGATGATCCATTTGATAAAAGTAAGTTGAATTTATTTTTAAAAAAACTAACACTAATAATTTAACTATCATAAGACAATTAAAAATGTAAGATATTTTGATAAAAATAAAATTTTATAAATTAAATTTATCTAATATTATCCTTTTCTCTTCATATTTTCTTTATGTTTCTATTTACTGTTTCAGAAATAAATTTATATTAAATGAAAGATATTTTTAAAATTTATATTTTTGTATTTTTAAAAAATAAAATATGATTACAAAATATATTTAAAAAAATTTATTAATATGTATAATTTTATTAAAAGTTATCATATAACTTGAAATGGAAGGAAAACGATATGAAAACAAAATTTAAAAAATGATTGGGACGCAAGTTCCAACCTTTCTTTTCTCCTGGTCGAAGTACCTACATCTTCGCTTCATTATCTTAGCAAGAGAGTAAATAAAAAAAAAGAGAGAATTTTAATTAAAGATTATATATATGATATTTTTTAAAAAATCAAACAATGTGTTGCAACGTAACAAGCAATATTAGAAAATTAACAAACAAAACATTTAATAAGGAATATAGCTAGTCAATTAACAACAAAAGTTTATATGTCAATTTAAATCTATAACTTGTCAAACAGTCATCATTATAAGTAAAATTAATTACATTGCTTGTTAATTTCCTATTAATACTTAAAAAAGTTGTTATTTTTTTAAATTTACTTGTTCATTCACTTATATTGCTTGCTAACTCCATAACTTTATTTGTAAAGTCCATGTAGCGAGTTAAATATATTACTTGTTAAGCGCTGTTAGCATAACTTGTACAATTAATTAGAGTTGATAATTTGGATCAAATTTAAATTTGCTTGAAAAAATTTAAGGCCGGCTTAGAAAAATATTTTGTTTTTTTTATGTATGGGCCTAAATAGGTTAGAACAAATTTAAGCCAAATTTGATCAGGTTCGATCTTAGTCCAAATATCTAAATAAAAAGATTATATTTTAAAAAATATATAAAAAATAATAAATATTAATTAATTATTTAAGTTTTAGTTTATTTTATACTAAAATATCATATATTTGAGTCCTATACATAGTTTAAGTATTCAAAAAATATAATTTATATTTTTTATAAAATAAAATAATTAATTTTACAGAAAAAAATTAATAAAAGATAATTTAAAAAAATCTGTTATTCAAAATTCCCAAAGCATGAAAAAATTCAAGTCAAGCTTAGCCATTCAAACTTTTCAAGGAGTTGGACTTATTTGGATTTGGGCCTATTAACTAAATATTTTTTATACTAATTAAATGTTTTACTTTACTTGTTAATTACATTGTGTCACTTATTTTACTGCAACATATTATTGGAATAAGGATATTTTAATATTTTTCTTTATACTACTATTTCAATTCAAGCTCAACATCTTATAATAAAATTTTAGATTGTGTTAAATATATCGGTGTTAGGTGAAATTCTCCCAAAAAAAACCTACACTTTGTTGTCACTTTCTAGCTAGATTTTCTAATCCCCCACCTTGCGCCGCTAGTTCTTTAGGAAATTTCAAGTATTAAAATAAATTAGGACTTAGCTGCCTTATTCAGTTTTCTCCCCTCCATTTCCAGCACTTACATCCGAGCTGGAGGTTTTAGCACAGAGATAGTAAGTGATATTTATTACTTATTCTTGAAAAAATATATTTACAGGTCTTTATAATTTTACTCAAGTTTAAATTAAGTCCCTATAATTTATTTTATTTTAATGAGCCCTTATAATTTCATCTGTTATATATATTAACCCCTGAAGATTAAAATTAATAATGAATTATTAAATTTTACAAAATAAAGATATTCTTAGAGTTTGCAGAAAATTTTATTTAATACTTTTAGCCAAAGTTGCAAAAAATTGGTTTGATCTATCTTTATATTTTTATTATATTTTGGATGTAAATTCTACATGTATAAAAAATATTTAGAAGACAATCTAATATTATATAAATTATGAGTTATACAAATTAGGTAATTAATTCTAAAATCATACAATCATTTAATAAAAAACAAAAGTTCTTAATTTTTTTAAAGGAAAAAATGTAAGGATTTTAACTTTTAGGGAGTAAAAAATTAATTGGTGAGACTACAAGGGCTCAATAAGAAAAAAATAAATTATAAGGATTTAATTTAAAATTAAGTAAAATTATAAGGGCCGATATGTTTTTATTTTATTTTTTACTCTCCAACTTCAACATAATTTATGTAGAAAATTAAAACCAACCCCCATTTAAGCTGACATGTATCTTCAGTTTTTCTCCTTCTTTCTTTAGTTTCTTGCTCTTGTATCTATTTTCCCTTTTTTAATTGTATTTGAACTATTCAAAAAATTGCAAAAATTATTTAATCATTTTTATGTTACTTTTTAATATATAATAATAATAATTTTAAAATATACTTACTCCTGTCCAAAATATAGGCACATGACAATAATTATATAATAACAAATTTTTATTCTCATAAAAATATTAGAGGAGGTAATCTGGGCCAAGTTTAAAAAACAAGCACGAATAAGCCTAAAAGATATTAGGGCCTGGTTTAGGAGTTTAAAAAATGTTTTTTACTTTGGACCTAAATAGCCAAATTTCTTTTTTATCATTAATAAAATAATATAAAAATTAAAAATATTAATTTTTTTTAAAATTAAAAATAAAATTTAATAATTTGAGTATTCAGACCAGTCTAAATAGGTTTAAAAGCCCAAAAGATTAGGACTGAATTTGACTATATGAACTTTTTATATATAGTATGATATTTTAAACCTAACCTAAATAAATATGGCCTATCCAAATTATCAATTCTAAAAAATATATATTACTCTATCCTTTTGTTCTTAATTTCAATTTATAATAATCCAGAAGAAAGTTATAAATTCATAAACAAGAGAATCCAAATTAATTAATACAAGAGATAAACTAATTTTTTTTAAATATTAAGTTATTTATATTTTTGACTAAGACTAGTTGATATAAAACATTGTTATTTTAAATTTTAATTCTTGAACTTGAGAACTAAATGTGAGAAAAGATAGGAGGAGGGAAAATGGAACTAGGAGAAGGGAATTTAAATCAAACAAAGGATTAAATGATAATTTCATATTAAAATTATGAGTCCAGAAGTGTTTAAAATTATAAACTTATTTTAGTATAATATTCTTATTCAAATTTTAAAAAAGATATAATGTTATATTTATTATTAATAAAAGTTAAATTTAATTATTAGTTAATTAAACAATGATAAAAAAAGGTCAAAGAAAGTTTCTTAGTTTTTTGTTGTAATTTACTAATTTTTTGTTCCTCATTTATAATTTTTGAATTTTTTTTATAATTTTTTATCCTTTTCCATTGTTATTTTTATTTAAGGGGCGATGTGGTACGAAGACGAGTTTGTGGCAGTAGACAGACATCGATCAACTTATAATTTATTTAAAGGCCAAATTCTGCTTTGACCCAACTCTATGTCTGGCTTAAAAAAAAAAACAACACTTTTTTTATGAAAAAAGGTTGTAGCGTAGTAGACTCGTAGGGATAGGATCCAATTCCAAACATTATGCAGACGTCAGTCGGCTGAGATCCCGTTCCCCGGACGAGTCAATCGTTTCGGTCAAGAGAGACCCACGCGGGCCCCACACAGATCACCAAAGTGGAAAATTTGCTTGATGAGTCAACAAGAAACATTTGCCAACGTTGAACGCCTCCAGTTTGCATAATTTTCAAATAAAGGCCAATGTCTTCATTTATTAGGATTTATTGAAACAAGGAAAGAATTAAAACACTTGGAAGCAAAATAATATAATTACAAGTAATCTTGCATAATTTACACCACCTCTTATATAAATTTTTTTGAACCCAAACGTCTCAATTTTACATAAATTCTTTTGTAAGTTGTGAAATTAGTTTTAAAAAAACTAAACGAATTGAAATATTTTATAGATTACAAAAATTCAGTTCTGAATTTTAATATGAAAAAAATATAATTTTTAATCTCTGCATTTTGCTCACATGTTATTGTAAGTTTCTATACTTTTTTTTGATATTGTAAATTTATACACTTTTATTTTTTGATATTCTAAATTTTTTGATAAACAATATTTTATTCAAAAAAGATTTAGAATGTAAACAAAATATAAAAATTTAAAGTTATGTTTTTTCTTTAGGGATACACAAGTGTTTCAATTCGTTTTATTTTCCTTTATCCTCTTTGAAAATAATGAAGCATACGTATTCGAGTCAAATTTTGCTGCCATTCAACGTCTCCTACAAGTTCCGCCTCAAAAAAAAAAGACAAAAAGAAAAGCAAAATAACAGGTATAAAAGCATTGCATTTGCATGTCGCAGACTCGCAGGTGAGACTTGTGCGTGTCTCTCTTTCTCATTAGGCTCTTTTGGGACAATTTTCCCCAAACGTGGAGGAAAATTTTGCACTACCCTCACTCTTTGCAGTTTACATTTGCACCCCTCAACCGAGTGGACTCATCCCGGGCTCGCTCCATTCTGGGCTTCTGGACTCATTATTCGTCCTCATGGCGCAGCCGCACTCGCATGCACACAACCCATACACACTTACCAACCTTACGGTCCCTCCGTCGCCGCCTTCCACCGCCGCAGTCCCCCATGTCCTCCGCGTTCAGGACCCACCGGCCGAAATTACACATACCGACCGGTACGTTCCTTTCTGTCCTCATTAATTCTCCCCCATTGTACGCATGCATACACACACAAGCACAACGTGTTTGTCTATTTATGTACACCGGAGTAGTACTAGGCTTTGTTGTCGATCGCTGTCTTTGTTTAGGCTTTTGGATCCTGCAACGACGTCCTTTTTGGACAATCGAAAGTACTGTAGGTACTATTCCTTCCTCCCTCCCTCCATTCATGCCGTACGTTTCCTTTTTTTTTTTGTTGGGGTTTTTATGGATTCTTAGTTGATTGATTGTCTTGCGTTATGGTCATACTTCGTTAGTTGCAATTTTAAAGTTCTTTTTCAAATGTGTTATGTGGTCATGATGAGTGATTGGTGGTTGATGCAACTTAGTATTTGGGGTTTCTTCTAATGTTGGTGCGCAGAGAGAGAGAGAGAGAGAGAGAGAGAGATATGAAAATAGGGTTCCGTTTTTTATTTTTTTTCATTTACATGAATATCCAGTATCTTAGATTTGCAGCACATCGTGCTGAGAGGAGAGGAATTAATGGGACAGACTAATCCGGAATTGAGGGCGAAGGCTTTATTATCAACACTATTACAATTTTGAGATTCGAATTTAAAAAAAAAATTAAGTTCTTTGATTAAACTGGCACAATTCTTTTACCGGTTAAATCAAGGACAAGAAAAATAGGTTCCTTCGTAGAATCCCAAGACCAAATCATACTCGTTACTATCCATGTGTAGCTGAGGATTCCCTGTCGAACACAGTAAAGGAAGTATGTTGACGGATTTCGTAGGTTGCCACTTGTCAGTAAGATGTGTGATATGTTGTATGTTATTATTATTATTATTATTATTATTATGACTCATCCCCCTATATGTTGCTTTCCGGTTAGTGGAAGCAGTAAATTTGCTGCTACTACTGGCTACACTTCCGACCCGTTTGATTCAATGCTATTAAGAGAGTAGTTAGCTTTTTAAGTGGACTCATGATAATAATTATTACACATCATTGCTAAAATGATGATAATACTTATGCATATCCCCTAAATTTTCATTATACTCTATTACCTTCTCCCTCTTCTAAAATGATATTAAAATTGCATTGTATTGTATCTCTCCAGAAAGAGTGAGAAATTAAACCAAACAGCTGGTTGGTGTTTTTTGAGTTTAGTTTGATTTGATTTGGTATCTATTAGGATTAATTATATATCATCACGGTAAAACTTTTCCTGGATTTGTCTCTTCTTCAAACAAACTCATATTCTCGTGATTGGACCCTTCAACCAAACAAAAGAAGCTTTTTTGGGTTGGCACCATTGACACTACTCATCAGCTTTAGTTGTAGCTTAACTATCACGAAGCTAGTACACGAAAGGGAGCCAGAGAAGGCCCAACTTTATTTACTGATATCTGATGTTAACAATGTCACTTTTAACTCTTCCTTGTCCTGCCGATTAAAAAAAAAAAAACTCTTACCTTTTCCTTCCTACTTTTGGAGACACTGCTCTCTTGGTTTTTCTTTTTGCTTCCTTCCTCTACTTCATTTGGTAATAGTCCCTAGTTCATGGCTCATCCCCTCTGGCCACTCCTAATATGATCAAGAAGGAAGAAAAGAGATCATGGTCAGTATGGGCGAGCCTGATCCTTAAATTTAAATTCCCAGCTTAAGTTCTCAAATCCATAAACTTACCTGTCTTAAATTGGCCATATTGCTCAAACCCAACCTTGATTGATGAGGCCCAGGGTTGGGTTTAGATGTTCAGAAGCTTGCATAATTTTTTACCTGAAATATTTAATTATACTACTATACTAACAATGCACAATTTAAGAAATTGTATCATTTTTATATATTAATTATAAAATTAAAATAAATCAAACAATTTCAATAGTATTATTTTGAAATATATATCTACAGTTGCAACAATATGCTGGATTAAAAAAAACAAAAAACAAAGAGAGAACAATATAGGGTTTAAATGGACTAGCTTTAGCCCGAGCCTATATTTAACAGGCTGACGAGGGTCAAACATTAAAGTCATTATATTTAAAAATCCCCCATTTTTCCTATCCCTGTCCAACAAAATACAATGCCTAAATGGGTGTCTAGAGGTCTCTGCCCGTGTTGATGGTTCTAAGTCAACAATGTCATGTCCCTCGAGTAAATATGTCTAAATCCAAACCAAATAGATTAAAAAAGTAGTTCACAAAGTTAGAGGACAAGTAATTTGGTTTTGCACACAAGCAATCGTAGATAGAATTGAGAATACAAGTGAGTTGCCCCTTTTTTTTTGGGATTTAAGCTTTGAAAATTAGTGTTTTTTTTAAGTATAAAAAGGTTTTCGGTTGAAAAAATAAAGTGTGAAACGCAAAAGGCAATTAAGTCGCTTTCTATTTTTAACTTCAAAAATATATTTTATGTAAATATAAAATTTGAGGGTTGTTGAAATAAAACATTTGAAATAGTGTCATCCTTGCACTTGGGAGGATTGAACAATATTTAACTTTGCTTTTGAAATTTTAACCCTTGGTTTATGAATGACAAGAAAATTTAAGAGAAAAAAATACTAGGTGAAAAAATTGTAAAAATTAATATTTTTAAGATTTTTTTTTCTCATAATAGATATTCTTTCCTCTATATTTTCCTCCCATTTTCTTCCTATCCAAAGGAAACCTAGATAATTTAAAGGAGATTAGGCATTCCAAAATATAAGATGTTGACAAAAATAAAATTTTATTAATTTTATTTTTTTAACATTATTCTTTCTATATATTCTTCTACAAGTAGATGATATTTTTGAAAATTATATTTTATCTTAAAAAATTTAAATTATAATATAAGGTTTTATTGATAATATTTTTTTAATATTATCTTTCTTGTATATTCTTTCTTTTTAATATTTTTTTACAAATAAATAATATTTTTAAAAGTTTATATTTTTATTTTAAAAAGTAAGATTGTAAGGTGTATTTAATGAACTTTATAGGTACATGTAATTTTGTTTAAAATATCTTATAATTTTAGATGGATGGAGTACTTTATAACAATTATAAAAAATTATTTTTTAAAATTAATCATACCTGCTCTCTGAATTAGGACCTAAATGCGATCAATTCGGGTTGAACTTAAAAAAAAAAATGGTAATAGGATTTATATGTCTTATCCCATATGATCTGATCATCTGAGTCCATATGGGATAGTCTAGCGGTCTCCCACTCTAGCTATAGACAAAACATGCTATATATTCATGTTAAAAGGCATGGAGTTAATGCATGCAAAAGACACGTAGTTAACACAATTGTATGAAAAGTTCTACTCCCTCCGTTTTTTGTGAAATTAAGAAAATTAATTAAAAGTAATTAAATGTAAAAAATTCTGACAATTTTTTTAAAAACAACCCTTTGATAGGCACTTTTAATTAAGGGGGAGAGATGAGAAGCATGGAAAAATGTGTTATGAATGTTTTCATTAAATTTTATAAAAAAATGTATTGTATTAATTAATATCAGTAGATATGATCTTGTATATAGGTCCAAAGACAATATTTTCATCTAGTCTTGAGGAAGTAGGGGTGTTCACATGTCCTTACCTCGATAAAGAAGATAATGTAAAAAAATTATTTGAATAATAATATTTAGTAATTAAAATTTTGAATTACATAACTGATTAAGTTTAAAATTAAAATAATATAAATACATAAATTACAATAATTATTAAATTACATCAATTACAACTATAAGTGCACAACTTATAGTCAAATATACATGAAATATAACATATTATGATAGCAATTACAAATGACCTCTAGATTATAAGAGCAATAATATAAATACATAAATCACAATAATTATTAAATTACATCAATTACAACTACAAGTGCACAATTTATAGTCAAGTATACATGAAATATAATATATTATGATAGCAATTATAAGTAATCTTTAGATTATAAGAGCAGTAACAACAAACAAATCCAATACAAAATCAAGTCACTGTTTTTCTTTTTTAATTGAAATATGTTAAGTTAGTAACTCTTTTGAAAATAAAGCAAGAAGAATAATAGAATCAAAAGTTATTAAATAGGTAGATATAATAATAAATTATATTAATATAATTAATATATTCTAAAAAAAGATATTACTCATACTGTTTTCTTTATGTCATTCAAATAATCAATATAAAAAAATTTTAGTTTTAAATTAGAACAACACGTATTGAAATTATAATTAGTATAAATATAAATTATATTAATATAATTAATATATTTAATATATATTTTTAAAATAAAAAAATAATATATATCTATATAATATTTGAGATGGGATAGGATGGGAGATCCAGAAGTAAACTCGTTCCATTTCAAACCCCTTTTCTGATATATCTGAGACAGAATTAGGACAATTAGAACTTGTATAAGTTGAACACTATGTATAAGTTTGAGAGAAAATACAAAAAAATCCTGTTGATCCATGAAAATGTAAGGTTGCTAGAACATCATCACGTGATTGCCATTGATGTGAAGGTGATCTGCGAAGTGTTTTATTAATACTACGTTCTTTCCTAATGTGTTCTCAAATCTCAACATCGCTTCTTACAGGACTGATGATTCTAGAAATGTTTAGTCATCCTATATTTTATTAATTTTTTTTTTCCTCAAAAGCTTTTTATCTACCATAATTTGTACAAGGGAGAATGATAAGTAAAGATCTTACAAAAATATTAATATTAAATTAAAAATTTTAATATTAAAATATGATAAAAGGAATACTGAAATTTGAGAATGTTAATGTTATAAAATTTTAATTTAATATTAATATTCTTATAAAATTCTTATATGTCATTCTCCCTTTTAATTATCTGGTTTAAAGGGTTTTGATAATATAATAAAACAGAAGTATCATTAATGTGCACTAGCACAGAAGTATCATTAATGTGTACTCATATTTCTATGATAAAATTATATAACATTTTTCGAAATTTAAACGCGTGATTCTCGGAGTGATTATATATAATTTCTTTTCCAAAAAATATATATACCTTTTTCTTTTTTCTGTTTAATTGAAGAAGCGATCGATCACAATCAAGAGTGTACAGAAGGTAGGCAACATACACGTGCCTTATTTTTAAACTTGATTTTAGCACAGTGCAATGCACGGGAAAATTTAAAAAATTTAAAAACTTTAATAATCATTAAAATATTGACTTGATAATTTTATAAAAATTAATATTAATAATTTTTAAAATTTATAAAATAAAAATTTAAAATACATAATTTATTTTATTCTAAAATTTTTAGTTAAATTGTACCTCTAGCCATTTAAAATTATATAAGGTTTCTGTTTAATCACTTAATTTTATAAAGTATTTTTTCATTTCTCTAAATCTAATACAGTTGGTTTTAATTAATTATTTTTTGTACTATTCATTTTTATTTTAAAAAATTAAACTTAATGTGTTAATATTTAAAAATATTTTATTAATATTTAAAATTTCAATATAGGAAATTATTGCTGATGAAGCCAATGATTTAAGGTTAAAAGATTTAAAAAGATCCTTTATAAAATTAAATGATTAAAATGAAATGTAGTATAAAATTAAAAGAATACATGTACAATTTAGCTAAATTTTTCTTATTATATTACAAATTGAAAATATAAATAATTTATTTTATTTTATATTTTTTCGCTTGCGCAATTTTAAGTATAGTCTAGAACTGTAGATATAATATACACAAAATTATTTGGTAATTTTTTTTAACCATCAAATTATATGATAATTTTCATTTTATTCTAAAATTTATCACTTTAAGTTTAAATATCATCTGCAATTATAAATTGTTAACAATAAATTCTCTTAGATTCAAAATATAAATAGTTTTTAGGAAAAAATTTGCATACCAATAAAATTTTTATTCTCATAAAAATATATATTATTTTTATTTTTTATCCTTCATTTTAATTACCAATGTATCTCATGATGAATGAGAGATAAATTTATATATTATATAAGAATTTAATTTAATAAATACAACGAATCAAATGAGAATTTTTTTATGTGTTAGGTTGTTTATATATTTATTTTTCTTTTATTTTTATTTTTTAATTAGAGAACCCATAACAATCAAGTGCCTGCAGAAGGTTGGCAACACGTGATTTATTTTTAAATATATATGGTGGGGATAGTAGTCAGACAAGCGACGGGTTAAAACTGTTCAGATTTTAAGGTTTTAATTTAATATTTATTAAAAAAATTATAAAATTTTAATAAATTTATTTTATCATTAATTTGAACAATACAGATTTAATTTAAATAGTCTAATTTAATTTTAAATTTTAATATATATTAAATATATATTATTCATATTGATGATAAGATAGATTTATTAAAATTTTATAATTTTTTATAATAAATATAAAATAAAATATAAAAATAAAATTTTAAAATTTGGTCTAAATTGCTCATAAGTAGCTTGTGGCGCTCATCAAAACAAACGTGTCAAGCGACACCGTGCGTGTAGGTTGGGTTCAGAAATGCAGCAGACCCTCACGTAGCCCATATAGCCTGCGTTGCATTATATATCTCTTGCCTATCTGTTCATCTTCCTCACTCTCATGAGTTTCATCTCTCATTATCTAAGTTCATTTTCAAAGCTGCCGTGCTGCTTCAACGTAAGTGTTTAGGGGCACCCACTTTTATGGTGCTTGTAAGTCCTGATTCGGATTAGCGTGGGGCCTGTTAAATCCTTGTTTGCTTTACCGTCCCAGAAAAGATGAAGTGTGGTAGCTAGTGGGTTTAGTGTTAGGCGTTGGTTCTTATGAGATGACTGACCCGTTGGTTTCTGTAGATTGCACAGCTTAAGCTTATGGAAATAGATTTTATCATTTGTAGTTTGTTTCAATTGCTTTCTCATTCTTGCCAAGAATTTCTTGGATTTTTATGGTGTTGTGGCATGTATACCTTTTTCATGGTGGTTCCTTTTGCATGCTCTTCTTCTGTGATCAATATTATGATTACTGTACATTTAATTAGAAAGTTAGAATAATCATGTCCTACCAATGGTCCACAACCCATTAGGTCGTGAAATCTAAAGATATTGTCAATATAAAAATTTTATTGATGAATAATATATAAGTACCTTTATAAATAGTCTCTGAGTCTAGAGATACATTTGACATTCGTGAGCTTTTGAGACCCGTTTTATCATGTCCTATAATTAAGATTATATCGTTAATTAATATTAACTATTTATTAATAAAAAGATACGGATATTTGTTATTTGTTATTGTAAAAATTTTGTAATTGCATGAATATGATTTTTTTGTTATTTAATTTAATTTGCATGTACTATTCATTAAGACTAGCTTATAGCATGTCAAACGTGTAATTTTATACCTTTTTTTTTTTACTTTTAATTTCGTAGCTCCTCCTATCACTACTATCATTTGATCAATTCCATGGTTGGAAACTAATTGCATTTCGTATCACTTTCTCTCCCAGTCATTCCATTAATTAGGGGTGGTGGAATGCTTTGGTTTGGGCATTTATTACGTGATGGCTAGCGCCATCATTGCATTGATGAGATATGGACATTCAAACTTGATTTGCTTTAGACGGCAATGATAAGAAATGTACTATTTTTAATTCTTCTTAACAATGACAAACATGATTCAAAGAGCCTGGACTGAGATCTCTTGCCGTTCTGAGTGTTGGCAGGAGTGCCTTGGAACTGGACGCAGGAAAGAAAATGGATAAGAATCTCTTGGAGAAAAACACAGAGCTGATATTGAACCAAGAGGATCATCTACACTTGACATGGCATGTCTTTACTCAAGAAGTAAAAGAGGTTTGTTATGTAGCAGGGCCTATGGTGGCTGTGAATTATTCAACCTTTTTTTTGCAAACTATTTCTTTGATGATGGTGGGTCACTTGGGTAAACTTGTTCAATCTAGCACTGGTGTTGCCATGTCTCTTTGTGCTGTCACTGGCTTCAGTGTCATGGTAAGTAACTTAATTATAGCCTATTTGATTACTTGTTTTCGTAATAGTTTTTTATTCTGAAAAACCAAAAAAAAAAAGGAAAAACATGTTTAAAAATGTGTTTTTTGTTATCTATTCTGAAAAATTTAAAAAAATTGAACTAAAAAAAAACAGAACATTTTAGATATTTTGTTACATTTTATTGTGCAAAAATAAATAAAAGATGTAAAATATCATACTTTTATTAACGACAATTATTCTTTCACTATTTATTTCACCAATTTAGATATGTTTTTTTTTTAAAATAATGATTCAAACAGATTCTTTTTTATTTTTTGTTTCCAAAACTTGTTTTGAAAAACTATTTTATTGACTTTTAAGAACACAAAGATAGAAGACAGAACCAAACAACCCCTCATTGTTTTACAAGCATTGAACTCTTTGTGGGGTTTTATACATTTGTTTAACAACTAACAATTTTATCTTGGATTTTGTGTTTTCTACTTCCTTAACAGTTTGGAATGGCTTCTGCACTTGAAACACTATGTGGGCAAGCCTATGGAGCTAAGCAATATAAGAAGTTTGGTGTTCAAATTCAAACTGGCATCTTCTGTCTTATCTTATGTTGTATTCCTGTGTCTGTGTTGTGGCTCAACTTGGGGAAGATACTAGTTTTGCTTGGTCAAGACCCTTTAATATCACATGAAGCAAGCAAATTTGCAATTTGCTTGATTCCCGCTCTCTTTGGTTATGCAATACTTCAAGCCTTGATTCGATACTATCTTATGCAAAGTTTGATCACTCCTCTTGTACTCTCCTCTTCATTTACCATTTGCTTCCATGTAGTTTTTTCTTGGACATTAGTTTTTAAATCTAGTTTGGGTCGCTTTGGAGGAGCGTTTGCCATTGGTACCTCATATTGGTTGAATGTGACCTTACTTGCGTTACATATGAAATTCTCTAATTCTTGTGCAAATACTCGGGTTCCAATTTCCATGGAGCTTTTTCATGGGATTAGAGAGTACTTTGGCATGGCTGTTCCTTCAGCTATAATGGCTTGGTATTATTCTTTTCCACATTATAATTTGACTTTTTATACATTCTAATGTTATATTGTTAATAATTGATTATTGAATATTTCAGCTTCCAATGGTGGTCATATGAAGTGACTATATTGCTTGCTGGTCGTCTACGACCAAACCCACAGCTTGAAACGTCAATCTTAGCCGTATGGTATATGCTTTTTCTAAATGTTTTAGTATCCAAAATCCATAAAAAGTATTGCTTGTCAAATAATGCCTCTACTCTGTCCAAAAAAAAAAAAAATTAATGCATCTACATCAACTAATTCTTTATTTAACTTTGAATTATTTGACCAGTGTATCAATGAACTACGCAATCTATTCAATACCAGAATCAATTGGCTCAGCAGCAAGGTTTGCATCACAATGTTCTCTAAGGCATTTATTATTAATAGACTCCTATAATGTAGAACTAATTAAGCTGCATTGTTCATGACTCATACGGCTTAATTTCTTAATTAATCATTTCATTAATTGTCATTGATGACTCTTACGAATGGTATTATTATTCAGCACAAGAGTTTCAAATGCATTAGGAGCTGGAAGTCCACAAGCAGCACGAGTTTCTGCCATTTGTTCAAGGGTTATAATGCTTTGTGAGGCCATAACAGTGAGCTTAATCATTTTTGCAAGTCGGGATGTTTTAGGTCATGTTTTTAGCAATGAGCCGGATGTGATACGCTCTGTCACAGACATATCTCCTCTTTTAGTCATGTCGGTTTTCGTGGACTCCTTACAAGGTACCCTCACAGGTAAGATCATTTGTTCCAAGGAAAATGATAGAAAAAATTGCTCCAAATATGGAAATGATGATAAGATCTTACAAAATGTGATTAATTCTCTTAAATTCCTAAAGACCTTTTTGACATTAATATCTTTTATGAAATGACTATATAACAATAACAATAACAATAATAATAAACCTTATCTCACTAGGTAAGGTTGACTTTGTGGTAATAACTATGCACATCATAGTTAAATGACTATGATGCCCTCAATTTAAAATAAAAAAAAGAAACGGGTAGGGTGGAACTTGTTATTGATTATACCTTTTTGTCAAAAAAAAAAAACAGTTATTACTTAAATTAAAATAATAACTGATATTTACAACACTTGGGTTTCAAAGATTAAAAATTTTGCAAAGAGAAGGTTGTAATTACTTATCATGTTTTAATCATTACTAGAAGAAAAGTAGTCATTAATTAAATTAAAATAGTCATTGATATTTACAATACTTAGATTTCAATGATTAAAAAAATTTTCAAAGTGAAGCTTGTCATTTGCTATCTTGTATTAGTCATTTATAAAAGAAATGTAATCATTATTTAAATCAAAGTAGTCACTGTATATTTCTTTTTTTATTTTAAATTAGTGGCATTATAATCATTTCACAAATGATGACATTAATGTTAGAAAGATCTCCAAGAACTTAAGAATTATCACATTTTATAAGACCTTATTGTCAGTTGTGTATTTCAAATGGATTCTTTTTGTTATTTTCCCATCATTTTAATACTATTCATGATGATCAATATATATATATATATATATATATTCATCTTGTATTTAAACTTTGGTTTTTGGAGTTCTATTAAATCAAATTCTTGTCCAAAATAGGGATTGCTAGGGGAAGTGGGTGGCAGCACATAGGGGCATATGTAAATTTCGGAGCTTATTATGTTGTTGGCATTCCACTTGCTGCAATTTTGGGTTTTGTGGTACATATGAGAGCAAAAGGCCTTTGGCTTGGAATAACAACTGGTACACTGGTCCAAGTGATTTTGCTATTGATCATTATAAGTCGTACAGATTGGGCAAAAGAGGTTTGTTCTTCACTTTCAACAATACTCTTTCAATTCATCAAATTTTATTTATGGTCTTTTACTTTTGAGCAATATACTCCCTGTGGTTTTATTTATAGGATAGAGAGAGAAATTTTTTTGTTCTATTTATAAGTCACATCATTAAATTTTTATCATAAATTTTTTTTGTATCCTCCATTGAATGGCGGAGAGAGAAAATATATTATTAAAATGTGCATATTTAATAGGGATAAAGTTAAAAACTTATTAAATTTTAAGACATAGTTAATGAGTTTTTAAGTTTTCTTTGACACTAGTTAAATAAGTGACTTCTAAATAGGATCAAAAGAGTAATTCATTAATATTCTGGGACAACACATTTCAAGATTTATGTAGTTAGTGCTTATGTGAAATGTTCTCATCACGTGAGAGTCTGAATTTGCAGGCAAGATTGGCTAGGCAGAGGACTTTGCAAAGAACTTTGGCAGAAGATGAAAATGTTTTGATTTGATCAACTAGAGTACATTACTTATTGCTTTGCAAATTAGCATCTTCCCTAATTCGGGCAAAGTGAGATATATATGTGTGTCTGTATGTGTGTTCGCAATTAAATGCATTATCTCCTTTCACACTTACAATGCCTGTATTGTCTCCATCTACATGCAAGGTTGATAGTTGAATCCGAAGGCCACAAGCATGTGTCATTTGAATGATGTAGTCTAGTTTGTCAACATCGATTCGCATTAATTTTAATTTTCCTGCTCGCATAGCTTTTACTTGCATTTTATTTTTAGGCTAAAATTGTGTTTGTCATGTGTATTCTTGCTGGCTTTGTTTTTTACCCCTTTGGAGTTGGATGTTGGGCATGAAATAATTACGAAAGGAAGGAGTTTTTTGACCAACAAAGGAAGGAGTTAAAGTGGCCCAATAACTTGAACATTCCCCCATACCCAAGTTGAATTTTCAAAATTGTGAGCTCTATTTCAATATAATAGAAGACTAATTTTATTTTTAAAAATACATTTAATTATTTGTATAAAATGAAAATTATTTTTAAAAATTTCAAAATTAGAATATTTTAAATCAAAAAGAGGTAAAGTTGTCAAAATATTTATGACTTTGGACAAATTTGACAATAAGTTTTTTCTTCCATGGTAGGATGCACCTTTCCTCACCTCATGTGAAGGAGGTCTACTTCCTTGTATAAAGTAAGCATCAATTTCTTGATAAATTAAGGGTCTATTTGGTTTGATGGGAAGGGAGAGATGATACCTCATTTGGTTCAAAAGGAGAAAAAGCAAATATATATAGATAACTTTACTCTTATAAAAGCTTCTAATATAATATAGTTATTAATGTTTTAATAAATAATCATAAGTATATTATTATCTATAGTTCATATATATATTGCCAACAATGTATTCAATAATAATTTATTTAAAGACTATAAACCAAAGGTATATGCAATCAGTAAGTTTATTAACATAAAATAGAAAAAAATAACAAAACATGACCAAAAAAATAGAAGAATAGCAAAAATAAAATAAAAGGAGGGAAACAAAAATGACAATGTAAGTTAGGAGGAGAAATGCAACTTAAACAAAAGGACTCATAGCTCTAAAGAGAGAGGAACATTTTTGGATTATCATATTATAATAGGAGAATATTAGCCTAATATAACAAAATTATATCCCTTCTCCCATCCTCCGATTTTGGAGGGAAGGGTCTCCTGCTTTCAAATCAAACATATCCTAAGTAATTTTTACAGTCTCCATTTATTATTATAAATAATTAATTTTTAGCTAACTCATCTGAACTAATGCAATTAAGTAATATCCCTAAAACATTTCAATTTTAAATGTATATCATTTTTAATTAATTAACACATCTTAAAAAAATTAGTTTTATTCGTAATATAATCTTATCTAAAGAGCAGTTGCTTTTAATCTTACTCTTATCAACCAGTATTTCTATTATATATATTGTCTGATTTTATTCAACTACATTTAGTACTCCACATCAAATGAGACAAGTGTAGAGCAGGAAAAAAAATTAGTTAACAACATAAGATAGACCTACATTTTGGAATAAACATCACTCCTGGGAGATGCCATATACTACGCTATTTTCAAATACAAGAAAAACTATCCTGTGTTTGTTTATTTTTATCATAAGTAAAACTATGAAATTTAAGAAACATTAATTAATTATATTTTTTCAAAACTGTTCCTTATAAATGAATAGTATCATTAAACTAGGGGAAAATAAATATTGATTACAAGGGCATTTTATTCCAAATGTTTTAATTTTAGACATAATTATTATATCAATTAATTTTCTTAAACTGTTTAAGTTAGTTAAAATTATCCTATATTCAAAAATGGAGAAAGTACCTAAGAATTTTTTTTTTTGGGGCCAGAAGGAAGTACCTAAGATTGAAGACTACACACACACATATTCTTCTAATATATATATATATATATATATATTTTCATGGGCTTGTAAAATGAATTTTCTTAAAAAAATTTAAAATTTCCCACTCATATATTTTTTTAAGGGCAAGACTTGTATATTTAACATTATATACTTAGTATACTTATATCCAATTAAATCATGATATGTAGATCTTAATATATTAGTTTAATTAATAAAAATTTTTATTATAGAATAAATAATCTATAAATGATTCCCATATGTTGTTAATTGGATACAATATAAGGTTTCTCCTTCTTTTTAAATCTTGGATTTCACCCCATAGTTTATATGTGGGGTTTAAAATTACTATAATAATAATTGATCAACCATGGCTATTACAACCCAAAAGAAAAAAAAAAAATCATCAGCATTTGCCTTATGTTGAAATTGACCTCAATAGTTTGATTAAATAGACAGCATGCCCGCATGAGAAACCAGTGTAAGGAGGCGAAACCCTTTTCGCTATTTGTCTAGCTGTAAACGTTGACGCTTCAGAGTTTCTTGTCAAGACTCTTTTGGCCCCAAAATAAAAAAAAAAAAAAATTCCTTTTTTATTTAACAGTGACTTAGCATGCGTTAATATACAATAATAGGTCTCGCACTAGCGAACTAATCACATTGTGACATGCCATCCTTATTTTTCAATTAAATATTTTATTAAATTAAAATACTGAGGGGCCTCATGAAAATTTATGAGTGATTTTCCATTTCTGCCGGTGATCGTTCTTTTTCTACAATTTGGCTAGTTTCCACATTTTCAGCCCATCATCCTCAAGAATGAAAGAAACTTGTTAAAAAAAAGATTTGGAAAATTTTGTCTAACCATCGTAGTAGCTATTTATTTTATAAATCAGATCCAAAAAATTCTAAAAAAATTACATTACAAAATTAGAAGACCTAAATGAAATAAGCTTTTAGTATGGAATCGTCAAATTACCCTTATGTTTACAATCAAATAATTATGGACTTAAAAAATAACATAAGTAGATTAATATGTAATGTTAGCTATTTTACAAATTTTTTACAAATTTCTTCCAATCTATTGAAGATGTTAAAAAATGTGGAAGATCAACTGCGGAAAAAGGAGGACCAATGGCAAAAATAGGAAAATCACTTGCAATTGCTTTTATGAAATATTCGAATATTTTACCAAATATTCAAATACTTTAGCATAAAATCGAATATTTGGTATAAAATATTCAAATAATTTCATTAAAGCAGTTGAAAAAAAGGGCGTTTGCGAGTTTCTTTCAAGCTATTAAAATTTTGTCAAAATTATGATCAAATGTAGAAAAAGAAGGCCGACCACAAGGAAGATCATTTGCAAAAATTTTTCACTTGCAATTTTCTTTTACTTTTCTTTCTTCTTCTTCTTCCTCTTTTTTGTTTTTTTTTTTGGCAAATTTCTTCGATTCTATAGGAGATGTGTAAAATTTTTGCAAATTTTAGCAATGACTCCGCCATGATAAACCTAGGAGACCACCCATACGCAAAGAAGATTACCTGGTCTGAGCAGTGGTATAGTAGGCTCTGTTCCATGTGATCGAAAGTCTTGGTTCAAGTGTAGAGATTGCTTTGCTAGGTAAAATCAGGAATGCATTAGCATGAGCATGATGAGATTGATCAGAATGAATTCTTATATATGATGCTATGTTATTTTTATTGAAATACATGCTGCTTTATTTCTTATTTATGATTTTGCTTACTAACCGGTAATTGGAGTTACCTTTGAGTTATTGGGACATATGTCTCATTCCATTACTTTTGTATAACAGGTGAAGAGGGCACGAGAAGGTCGGGAAAGGAAGCGAGAAAAGGGTAGCCTCATTTGGTAGTGAGGTAGTGGTATGACTATCAATTATACATAATGAATGTATAAAGTTGTAATTAAAACTTGAGTTGCCAACTAGGATGCATTTGAGTATGTGGATATGAGATTATGAATGTGTATATGAATTGTGAATGAAAACTTGCTTGTATATATATATATGATGTTTTTTCTTGTCGAGGGTGCCCTAGCGATAGGTATGTGGGTTGGCTTGGATGCGGTTCAAGCAAGTGTATGACATTATGTAACTTGTTCCACTTGTATATATGTGTTGAAAGTGAAATTGAATGTGAATTGTGTATATATATGTGATAACTTGACACAAATAATGAGGCGGAGCCCCATTTAGAAGAGTTGAGTATATTTGTGATTCCTGACTATATAATGAGGCAGAGCCCTATATGTAAAAGTCGGATGATTGATAGTGAAACAAGTCTATATGTATATGTGTTTATACGTTTGTGCTTAATATAAGTCCATAAGTGTGTAATGTGGCATTGAGAGGTCAAAATGAGAATATGATGTGATATATGTGATTAGAAGTGTTAATTAGGTGTATATGATCTTTTTAGACTTAGTTCAAGGCCAGGAGTAGTCTAATGAGACAAGGAATGTGAATTGAGCACTTAGAGTACAAGTTTTGAAAGAAAAAGTGACTTTTTGCACTCAGGTTTTCAATTTTAGATCGGATTGTTAGATCGAGTCCAAACTTGTCTTATTAGCTTGAATGTGTTATAAGCTTCATGCAGTGCTTGAATCACTCCAATTGGATGTCATATGTGAAATGATGTTTGGTAAAAGCTCGTCTTTTAAGCTATCATATGACAATAGAATTGCTGTCATATGCATTGCGGCACATTGTATGCCACGCCATGGTGTATGGTATAGATAGAAAGGGCATGTTGCTTTGTATCACATGTCGTAGTGCTTGGTGGTACAAGCCATGGCACATGGCACTTTTTTAAGAGAAAATGTTGTTTGCTTGAGTCATAGAATTGTGTTTATGCTTCCGTTAGCCCTCTTATTTAAACATATACTTTACAAAGTCGGGATCTCCCATTTTGAAAACAATTCGAAGGCTATTGCTTTGATATTTTATGATGTTTGATGATTGTGTGTTTGTGAATAGTAAAGCCCGGATCAAGTAGGGGCTTCATAATTTGGCATTGGTTTTCTTTGGTTTTGGTCTTTGTGTATTACATCACAATAATTGGTAACCTTTATACATTCATTACTCTTTTTTGGTTGCTAACTACCTATTTACTAATGTCATCTGACTTTACTTTTTAGGAGGGGAGAAAGGTACGTGAAGCTACTGAAGTGTTATGAGAGGACATGGTAAAATTTCATAATGCACACAAGCTCAAAATGCCTAAGATGCACAAGATTTAGAGGTGCCATTGGAATAACCTCAGTGTAATGACCCTATTATAGCACGTATATTGGAAGTGATGCTAGATATTCAATGGAATCTAGCTAGCCATGATGCCCTGAATTGTAATGGGGATCACGAGAAGTTGAGACTAGAGTAAGAAATAAGGCCTAAGACTGAAGTAAGAATAGAACCTGAGGCATAATTAGTAGGCCAGTG